CTCTGCTTGCCATCTCTGAAAAGCATGACACGTCTATCGAGTCCGTACCTTGCAATAGCAGCCTATATCTGCAACCTGCACCTGCCACACCTGCCTTGGTAGTAACGACTAGGGTAGTGGCGATTATGCCAAGATATGACCGAGCTCCGATATAAAAGAGCCCCAACCCTCACGAAGAAAAGGTATTGAAGCTAGCACTTTCAGCACTCTTAACTCTTTGTATCTTTTTTGAGTTTTCCTCTAGAGTTCTAACTTAGCCATTGGAGTGTTCCCTCTGGGAGAGCTTCCTGGTAACCCTTCACCTTCTTCTTCCTCTCGAGTGTCGTCCATCACAGCTAGGAGCCAACTCCCAACCAGTTAGGAGTGCCCAGATTGTGCTACATCAGCAGCCAAGGAGGCTTCAGCCGGGGACCACAAGGAAAAGGAGACTGAACACAACAGCGGGCCCCCTAGGAAGAAAATAAAGAATGAAGATCACTGTGGTGATGGTGGCAAAGATAACAGGAAACATCGGCCTCGACCATGGCTTACAGCCAGTATACACCATTAATCTCCTCCCAGACCCAAATCCTGATGCAAATAGATGGGGAGAAGTTTGTGAAGTGGCTAGTAAAGATGAAGAGGAACCCCAATAGGGGGAACCTCAAAAAGTACTACAAGTTTCACCACGGCGTCGGCCACGACACCGAGGACTGCTATGAGTTGAAGAACGAAATAGAGTCTCTCATCCACTGCGGACACTTGAAGCAGTTCGTCGGAGGTGAAGTTGGCGCTTCATCCTCCCAACAGCAACAACAACAACTACAGTAGCACCAGCAGGTCGTCGAAGTCATCGACATCATCGTCGGGGGCTCGGCCTCAAGTGGAGCCTCGGCTTTGGCCTGCAAGGCCTAGGTTAGGTGATTGAATGTCCAAGGGTCAGCCCCCAAGAGGCCAAAGCAGCACGAGGACCTCTCCTTCACAAATGAGGATCTTAATGGGATTACAGTCCCCCATGATGATGCGCTGGTGATTTCGGCCATAATAGCTAACTTCCTGGTCAAGAGGATTCTTGCCAACAGTGTCTCCTCGGTGGACATCCTCTTCTACGATGCTTTCGAAAAGATGAAGATAGAGCCAGAGCATCTTTAACTTGTCGACGTCCCACTAGTCAACTTCTCCAGTAATGTTGTTAGGCCGGAAGGAAAGATCACCCTACCAATCATGGTAGAAACCGAGCCTCGATAGGTCAAGAGGATGACAAAGTTCCTTGTTGTGAAAATTGGCTCCCCCTACAACACAATCATGGGGAGACCGACCCTTCACACACTACGAGCTGCCATGTCCTCCTACCACCTTGCCCTCAAATTCCCAACTGAGCATGGCATCAGAGTCATTCGAGGGGATTAGCATGTCACTCGTCAATGCTATGTGGCGACACTAAAGGGCAAGAACAAAGAAGCCTTGCCACTTGAGGGCCTTGACCTCAAGGAGGAGTTGGTGAGCCGAGGCCAACTGGCCGAGGACCTCATTTCAGTTCCCCTAGATGAGGATGAGCTTGAGAAGACAGTCTGTGTCGAGTTCAACCTTCCCCTAGAGAGCCTATCCGAACTAGCTAAGCATGGACCCGAGCTCTAGGCCGGTTCGACAAAAGAAGAGGAGCTTTGCATTGGAGTGATGGAAGGCCATAGGAGAGGAAGTTGACAAGCTACTCAATGTCAGATTCATCCGAGAGACCTTAACCAAGCATGCCTTAAGGACAGTTTTTCTTTTCCAAGAATAGACCACTTTGTCGACGCCACTATAGGATATGAACTACTTAGCATTATGGATGCCTTCTCTGGATAGAATCAGATAAAGATGCACCCTAAAGATGAAGAGAAGACCTCGTTCATTACCGAACATGGTACATACTGCTACAAGGTGATGCCCTTCAGGCTTAAAACTACAGGAGCTACCTACCAATGTCTTGTTAATAGAGTGTTCAAGGATTAGATGTGGAGAAATGTTAAAGCCTATGTAGATGATATGGTGGTGAAGAGCTTGAAAGCTGAGGCCCACACCTCGGACCTGGCCGAGACCTTCGACACTTTGCAGAAGTTTAATATGAAATTAAGCCCCAACAAGTGTGTCTTTGGCATCCCTTCAGGCAACTTTCTAGGCTTCATCGTCACTCAACGAGGTATCGAGGCCAACCCTGAGAAGATATAGACCATATTGGACATGGCACCTCCTTGGTCGGTGAAGGAAACACAGAAGCTCAGTGGCGGCGCTCAACTGTTACATGTCAAAGTTAGCTGACCGATGTCTTCCCTTCTTCCGAGCTATCAAGAAACTGAAAGACTTCCAGTGGACAGGAGAATGTCAGTGAGCTTTTGACCAACTTAAGGAGTACCTGACCTCACCTCCCCTCCTAGCCCGCCCAGTCCCAGGAGAGACCCTATACTTGTACCTATCAGTTGGGGATGAAGCAGTCAGCTCAGTCCTGATCAAAGAAGACAGAGCACAAAAACCGATATACTACATCCACAAGGTACTATGCGACGACAAAACCAGATACCCCTAAGTGGAGAAACTGAACTTCACTCTTGTGGTTTTAGCCAGAAATCTTAGGCCATACTTCCAAGCTCACACTATCACGGTGTTAACAAATCAACCCCTCAGAGCCGTCCTTGCCAAGCCCGAGACCTTGTGATGTCTGATCAAGTGGGCCATCGAGCTTTCCGAATTCGGCATACGATACCAGCCGAGGCCCGCCATCAAAGCACAAGCCCTCACAAATTTTATGACAAAGTGCACCTTCAGCTAAGCTCTCCCCCGGGTCCCAGAAGATGAACCGGGAGAAGGGCGCCCCACTGGAGATGCTCCCCCTGCTTGGAATCTTTTTGTAAATGGGTCGTCCGATGCCAAAGGAAGCGACGCGGTCTTATCCTTCTCACCCCGTACAACTCAGCCATCGAATACGCACTGAGGTTCGACTTCCCAGCATCCAACAACAAAGCCGAGTATGAGGCACTCTTCGCTAGATTGCAACTAGCAAAGGACCTTGGCTCCTCACATATCGAAGCCTTCAGCAACTCTCAGTTGGTGGTCAACCAAGTAAACGCCAAGTACGAAGCCAGAGAGCACATCATGTCCAAGTACCTTGCCAAAGTCCAAGAGCTAGCCCACCATTTATAGCGCTTTATGCTGCAGCAAGTCCTGCGAGCCAAAAACGCGAGGGCCGATGCCTAATCCAAGCTGGCAAGCACCTCGAGCATGGTCCTCGGTTGTACCGTTCACGTGGAGAAGCTACCTCGGCCGACCATTGAAGAAGCTCAAGTACTACCAATAGAAGTCGAGCAATCATGGATGGACCCCATCATTAACTTCTTCCTTATGGAACAGCTGCCTGACGACAGGAACGAGGCTAAATGACTCCGGCGTCAGGTAGCCCACTATACCTTGCTTGAAGGAAAATTATATAGAAGATCATTCACGTTGCCTTACCTCCGATGCCTCCGCCCCGAGGAGGGGGAGTGAGTGTTCAAAGAAATTCACGAAAGCATCTATGGAAACCACCTCGGCGGCAAGGCGCTCGCCCAGAAGACATTGAAGTAGGGATATTTCTAGCCAACACTTCACAAAGATGCAATCAAACTTGTATGGAGATGTGATCAATGCCAGAGGCACGCCAACATATGCCATTAACCTACGACAACCCTCTTAGCTCTCAGTAGCCCCTGGCCCTTCGCTAAATGGGGAATGAACCTCCTCGGTCCTTTCCCACAAGCAACGGGGGGTAAGAAGTACCTCATTGTCGTTGTGGGCTAGTTCACGAAGTGGGTTGAAGCTGAGCCCTTAGCCACTATCACAGCTCCGACAATCCAGAGCTTCTTCGGAAAAAAATGTCTTCTGTCACTTTGGTCTCCCTCACATTTTAGTCACCGACAACGGGAAGCAGTTCGATGACGCCAAATTTCAAAAATGGTGTGCCTCCCTTGGCATCAAACAACAGTATACCTTGGTGGGTTACCCCCAAGCAAATGGCTTAGTTGAGGTCACCAACAGAACCATCCTAGATGGACTGAAAACGACGCTAGACCGAGCTAAAGGACTATGGGCCAATGAACTAAACATTGTACTCTAGGCATACTGAACCACACCTCGGATGTCCACGAGAGAAACTCCCTTTGGCCTGACCTATGGTACCGAAGCAGTAATCCCAACAGAGATTGGCTAGTCGACACTCCGAGCCGAAGCCTACAATGAAGCATAGAACAACGAAGCCCTCAGAGCCAACCTGCATCTGGTGGAAGAAGCCCGGGAGCAGGCACAGATCAGGGTAACTGCCTACTAGAAACGCATGGCCCGCTACTACAACTCGAAAGTAAAGGAAAGACTTTCGAGAAGGGGACCTCGTCCTTAGAAATGCCATAGTCCCCGAATCCAGAATAAGAAAACTGGGCTCCAACTAGGAAGGCCCCTACAGAGTCAAGAGATCTGGATCACCACGGACTACATCATAGAAGTTGAACCGCCTTTCTAAGTTTGTCCAAGCACTAGGTTTTCAATAGGACTGCATTGTGGTAGCATCTTTGGGTAAAATAGGTTTATCCACAAGCTCATGAGAGACCGAGAATACATTCCCATATGTGATCTGCTTCTTTTTCGACAATCAAAGTACTTTTAGGTCGGTTAAGTTTTAAGAGAAAATGGTAAGAAAAAGTTTAAAGGGGTACTATGGTAATTTAATGCTTTCTGTCATCACACTTAACGACCAAGGAGTGTTTCTCTAACGACTAAAGTTGGGAGATCTTTGATTCAAATTCTAGTATAGGGGGTCTTTGACTCTTTGCCACCGACCCCATTGTTTGGGAGCTCATAGAACCATGACCGGTGGTTGCAACGGCTTCCTTTGAGCAAGCCGTGGCGCGGTCTGAGTGTTTAGTTTGCCGTTTCGGAGGAAGAAGGAAGAAGAAGAAAAAACAAAAATGGGGGAGAGAGAGCGGGGGAAGAGACCGGTTGGGAAGAAGAAGACAAAACAAAAAGCCTCGACTGGGCGAGCGTTCAAATTTTTACAAACTAATAAATTATACGGCCATTGACTATGACCTTTCCACTCCTCCGTTACAACACGTGACGTGGTGGATTGTTATCCGAAGTTGCAGATTTTTTTCTGTAACTACAATGCAGAGGATGTGGCTCCAATTTGGACTCACACCGTTTATTCCTCATATCACAAATTTCCACGTACAGATTTGAGAGAGTCGTCCTCTCTGTTACTTCCATGACTCGGAGAATTTGTTAAACGCAACGAAAGATGAGCCTCCCTCAACCCACGCAGCTTTTGCAGCCATTTTCATCTCCTCACTACGTTCTCTGAGCACTCTCCCGTCTTCCGACTCCGTCAACGCCCTCACTCGTTTTTCAACCTCGGCAGCATTCACAAAACCATCCTCAGCTTGATCCAAAGGCATCACCAACTTCATCTGCTCCACCAGTACAGCCCTGTTGATAAACTGCTCCGCGTAGAGCGGCCAAGCCACCATAGGCACCCCTGCACATATGGCTTCCAGCACCGAGTTCCAGCCGCAGTGAGTTACGAACCCACCAATCGATTCTCGACTCAGGATCTCTTGCTGGGGAGCCCATGACTTGACTACCAGGCCCCTGCCTTTGGTCCGATTCAAGAACCCTTCAGGCAGTAGAGCCTCCAAATCGAGATCATCGCTTTGTACTGCGAATTTCAAGCTCTTCTCCCCTTGGAGAGGTGGTGGAGGCTTCACCACCCACAAGAATCTCTGCTCACTCTTCTCCAACCCATGAGCTATCTCCTTCAACTGCGCCACAGAGAAGGCACCACGACTGCCGAAACACAAGAAAACTACACTTTGGCTGGGCTGAGCATCAAGCCACCGCAAGCAATCCGCCACACCGCCACTGTCACCTCTTCGATCGCTGGCATCAGAAATTAACGGCCCAACATAGTAAACAGGAGGGACCGGAGCATCAGGTAGACAGACCCCATCAGAGATAACTTTGATGGCTATTGGCTCTAGAGACTCAAAGGTGTTAACTATGATCCCTTTCAATTTAGGGAGATGGGCGGTGAAGTATACAAAGTCATCATAGGCTGGGTCTGTGCGGACCAATACGGGTTCCACCATGTGAGAGCCAAGGATGGGCGGTAGGCCTGGAAAATGGAAGTAAGTAGTGGTGAAGTCTTTGAAACTTTGGGTTGTCTGACTGTGGATGGTGGGGAGATAGAASAAATATGCRAGGATGGAAGCTCCAGATGTGAAGAARTAGTAAGTGGGGATATCGAGATTGGAGCTGATATGAAGAGCCGAAGTGCAGAAGAGATCGATGACGAAGGATCGGATGGTGGAGGTTTGGGAGATGGATTGCAGGGCCCGGCGGACGTTTGGGTCATTAAGGCGGATGAACTCAAAGGTGATGGCTGCGTGACTCCGAGTGGGAGATGTGTCAAGAGGTGTGGAGAGAGGGGGGAAATGGTGGAAAGCGATAGAAGGATTGACTTGAGAGATTTGGTTGATGTAGGAAGTGGTGGCGAGGGTGTCGAAAGGTCCGGTTGTGAGGAGGACTGTGAGGGAGATTTGGGGGTTGTGATGGAGGATTAGCTTGGCCAGCTCCACCATGGACACAAGGTGGCCTATGCCAGGAGCTGGATACAGAACTACAGTTTCTTTCATTTCGTTGCCTAGCTAGCAGGAGGGAGACTTGAGTAGAGAGGCAAAGTTGCAGACTTTGGTTTTGGGTCTTCTTAGTTCTCACTCTGCATAATGAATGTGTATTTGGGTCCCTGAAGTTATCACCGTTGCTGAAACGTCCCTTCAAGTTTGGTAATTGGAATCGCCTTTCTTGACGTTTATCACATAGTTGCAAGTAGATGAGCTTTATCACATGGGCAACTTTTATTTTTTAATAAAATTTAAAAAATAATATTAAAAATGTGTATAGTTACTGTTCATTCCTCCATTTTTGCTGTTATAGGGACGCACGCCACCGACAGCAGCTGTAAATGCCACCCACTCCCATCCTCTTATTCGTCAGATTTCATTGACATGAGAACCAACTGTTCAAAACAAGCGTCACCTCCGTTCTGGTCACTACCCATCATGCTTGGAGACGAAGTTGCACCCTCCGATCCAGATCCAGAGTTCGACGTGTCACCGTGAAGGAGAAAGACAATGGGGTTTGGGTTAACAGAGGAATGCCGCCATAGCAACAATTGGCAGGAAACATTTCATAATGATTCAGATTAGCGGGAAATCCAAAATCCATATTCTTCGGAATGCCACCACTGTAGGTCTGATTATACAAAGGCTGAGGATTTCGATGGGAGGATTTCATCGTCTTCATTGGGAAAATTAACCTTGGCTTTCTTTTCTCTTATCTCCTTGTTTCCCTGTCATAAGCCCTTGCTGCCTCTTCCGCGGTGTTGAAGGTACCCAACCAAACCCTAACCCCTTTCCTAGGGTGACGGATCTCAGCCACCCATTTGCCCCATCGGCGTTGTCGAATCCCTCTATATAGATTCTTTCGCTTTCTCTTGCCGTTGTTTTTACCAGCAGCTGTATTTGCATGGATGAAGTTTACTATGAATTAAAAGGTGGAGAGCCGGAGGCGGCGGCTTTGAATAATATATTAACTTTACCCATTTTTTGATATTATATTTACAAAGTTTACTTATTTTTGAAATTTTATTAAATATATTAATTTTATTGATATTAAGTTTCAAAATTGCCTTTATTTGATATAACCTCTAACTAGATTCTCTTAATCCCTTTGTTAAAATCTTTTAATAAGAGATATGAAATTGTCCAAAATACCCATATAGTTACGTTAAGGCAAAGAATTCAAACTTTATAAAGAGCACCAAAAGGAGTTTTAAAGTTGTAGTTTTGCCTCTGAGTGATTGATACAAAGAGCAAATTTGGAAAATAAATCAATTTTGGAAGAGATTGAGAAGGGTTTGGGGTAGCCATTGATATGAATAGAAAATTTGGAAAATAAACATTTTGGTCAAAATAATTACATGTATATTTTGGATATTTTCATACCTATTGTTAGAGATTCTAAAAGAGAAGGGGTCTACTTGCAGCTATGTCAAAAAGTTTAAGAGAGATGATTGCAATTATTAAACTTTAGGAGAAATTTAAACAACAGTGAAAAGTTCAAGGGCCAGAAGTTTCATGAAATGGTAACAGCAATCAGTATTGATTATGTAATGGTCATCATCATGTTTGTTTGTACTTTAACTGCTTTTATTGATTATGTAAAAACTAGTATTGCAAGAAAAATCGAAGTTTCATGAAATGGTAACAGCAATCAGTATTTAAAATAGAAGAGTTTGGTAGGCCCAATGCAGATTTCTGAATTCCACTGTACACTTATAAATGTTCAAAATGTCAACATCCCCTACATTATACACCAATGCCCATTCATGAATCGGCAACAATTCAGAGCTAGCACCTACCCCAACTATACTTTGAGCCTACAAATTCTGACCCTGTGCTGAATCGTCATTCTCCCAACATAATAGGTGGCACCTAATGACGCCTCATGAGTACACCTAACTTAAAAAAAGATGATAAATAATGTGTATGTATAGGACATTATTCGGTGCATATATGATAAATAGTGTACAACTATGAAATTGTTTATTATACCATTCATGCCCTACGTCATAGAGAAGTGATGGTGGTTCATTGATATTGGAGCTGAAAATAGGGGTGATCCCTATTCAGTTAAAACCGAAAAACCAAACCGAAAATTTCAGTTTCGGTTTTTGGTTAACTTGGTTCGATTAATTCGGTTTTTGGCTAATTTGATTTTCAGTTTTAGTTTTTAGAATTAGAATTTCGATTAATCAAATTAACTAAACTTTTTATTATTATATGTAATATTATAATATGTAACATATAATATATAATATACTAAAATTTGATTTCATAATATTATATATATATATATATAATTGAGTATATATTATTAAAATTCGGTTTTAACCAAAAACCGAACCGAAAATTTTGGTTTCAGTTATTTTGGTTTTTCTAAATTTTTGGTTTCGATTTTTAAAATTTTGGTTTATTTGGTTCTGTTTTTAAGAAAATAAACCAAATGCTCACCCCTAGTTGAAAATACAAGATCGGATTCAGTTAGTGCAAGACTCGTTCAAATGCCATTTGAACAACCTTTACAGCTCTTAAAATATGAATTGGATCAATCCATGTGGCATACATCTATTAGCACTAGCACCTCAACCAAAATATTGCATTGTAGTTGTTGAATAGGGAACAAGTAATAGTTGTCTATGGTGGTGGATTTTAACCAAGCATATTCGAATATTTGGTTATTCAAGCTCGGTTTGGGAGAAAAATATAAGTTCGAGTTTGTGTTCGAGCTTGATTTGATTTGAAGATATGAGTTTGAATTTGGCTCCACTTCAAAAGTTTCAATGTTCAATTTTGGTATGGTCTAAATTTGATATTGAGCTAAGCTTTATATAAAAAATAAAAAAATTACATATAAAAATTATTTGTCATTTGTAGGGTTTGGATCTATGCAAGTGGTTTCGTGGTAGAATCTTAGAGGTCAGTTGGGACTAGACCATTCTAAGGCTTTACGACCGGGTCTGTTTACACGGGTCAAATCAAGGCCATGTCTTTTCTTTGAGCATGGAACCGAGCATCAAGGAAGAGGTCTTTCCCTGTTGGTCTGTGTTTCGATGATTATGGACCGAGAGGTTAGGTGTAAGAGACCATTACAAGCTTGATTACCTGATGGGATTTATCTTACATAAGTTCATTATCCTTGGATCTTCATAAGGTGACTGAATCCAAAGATCATTTATGTGTAAATGTTGGGACCAAACTGAGCCCAACTTGACTGAGTCAAGAGTTCACTATCCTTAACTAGTGAATTTGGCCTAACCTCTTCTAGAGGTAGAGTCGAGTCCTTATGGACTTGTATGGGACCTTTGTGAGTCCCACGACATATGATATTTAGGTCTGTTACTAATATGATTAGTTAAAAGATCACTTGATAGCTTAAGTTTTCATGTCATTTAGGTTGAAAATGAACTTGGATCTAGGTATGGAGCACCCATTCTCTTAAGAAGATAATGCTTATTAATTAAAGATAAAGTTCTGAACCAAATTTAATTTGGATCGTTTCCTAATTAGATTAAGAGAGTGTTTTATATAAGGGACTAAGAGGGGAGGGACAAATTGACTAGTTCTCTCTAACCTCTTGCTCTCTTATCTTCTCCCTTGCCTTCCAAAAGTCCTAATTCGACTAGTTATGATAGGGACTAATTTACATCAATTATCTACTTTGTTTTTACAAGAAAAGCATCAAGGGGTATCAGGTTCACATACTCACTTCAATCCAAGCAAGTTGGAGACCGGTTTTCTGAAACAATGTTGTTGAATCAGTTTCACATATAAATTGCGCCGTTTTCAGTTGGAGGCCGATTTTGGTATTGATATTGGACATAAACTACCACTATGTGAGTTTTATATTGTGGTCATCATATCAGGTATTATTAGTTTTAAATTTGATTTAAAAATTTTGTTTGTTTAGTATAAGATCTATCCCGAAATTTCAAATGTCAAAATTACCATGAAATCGGTTCCTAGGTGGGGTTAGAAAACTTTTAAAAATTTGGTTAAACACTAAACCTAGTTTGGCAATATCTAACCTGATTTCTAACCCTTCAAACATAATCTAGAGGTAACCTATGTCCAATAGTCAAGTCATAGTTTTATAAATCCTAGTTATTTCCTTACAACATACTAAGGCTCTACTCTAGGTGTTCTAATCATTGGTCTAGCTTTGGGCCAATTGGAGTTATGGGCAAAAATGTTGCCCCTTGCATGGAATTTTGGGCAGGAAATTGTATTAGAGTAGAGAAATAGGGTGTCTGGTATGAGCATTGGAAAACAACTCACTTAGGTTGAATTGGAGTCGCCACCTATTAGTTAAGGAAATGGAACTTCCAGAAATTGCATAAAAAATCCGTTTTGCATTTGTAGTGACTCTAAGGCTCAAGGCACTGGATAAACCAATCTGGGTAAGACTTGAATGTTAGAGGGAAAGTGTTAGGCACTCGTCTCCTATGTCTAATAGGTGGAGTCCACATGACATCCCAAACAAGCATAATCACAAATACATAAGAAATCAAAAGCATAGTAATGAGAAGGAAGGCAAACTACACTAACAAAAAGAGAATCAATATATATATATATATATATATATATATATATATATATTGTTTTACTTTTTTATATTTTCTATATCTTTTTTAGTTTTTCATTTTTGTTAATTTCTTTGTTTTTTATATTTTCAAATTTTACTTTGTTACTCTTTTTTTAGTTTTAGCAACTATTTATTTTTTACTTTTTATGCAATACTATTTGCATTTTTATTTATGGAATTATTTCTATTTTTAAATCTTTTATGTTTTATTATATTTATTTTATTTATAATTTTTTATTTCATCAATTTTTCTTTTTACAATTTCTACTGAATTATTATCCCTTGCAAATGTATCCTACCTATCAAGCTAAACACCCAAATCTATAACCAACATACCCCTTTCATTATTCCAATCTACAAAGATACTTAATCCCCCTTGATCTATTCCCCTTTTCCTTTTCTATTATTTTTTTTAACAAATGCTTTATTTATTCATTTACATATTTCTTATGTAGTATACAAAGAGAAGACCCCTATTCACCGAAGAGTTCGAATTAGTTACCCTCTCCTACTCTAGTTTCAGAAAGAAAAACAAGCTAACCTAAAGGTGTAACTACATTTCTTAACACAGTCTCAATGAAATGAACCCAAAACTACTTAGCT